TGGAACCAGGCAGAACTTTTCATGCGGCTCAATGAGAACGATGGCGGGTTTTGCAACGCTGCAAATGTCACTGCTACCCAAATTCCAGTGTGTTCCTCGTGTATTATTTTTCTTGTCACGTGACATTTAGCTCCACAAAGGAAACTACTGTGTTTGTTTGTTACAAAAAGACGACCTCTGAAACAAAAGGAATTTTTTTTCCCTCCCTTTTTATAAAATTTCTCTTTGGTCATTGAATCTCAATACAACAGCACCGTTTAACTCTCGGTAGCTCTTTTCACACTCCCATCTTTTTGTTGGCGTTGCAATACTCTGTGAAAGGTCAGACCTTTGCAATTCCTCTGAATGCGAAGGCACCGGTGCATAAAATAGCTACGGTTGCAAAATGCTAAATGCCACATTTCTTGCGGAACCCCTAAAGTTAAAGTTGGAAGTGTCCAACTTCAATCACACGTTTTATTTCAAATCTATTGCGGTGTTTTATGGAGACATAAATCTTCAAAAACAACGATTCAGAGACACATCTGTAAGCCGTGTTTCGGCTCATTTTTTTTTTTTTTGTTGACTTTTTCCACATGAAGGTAAACTCTGCCACACGGTTTGTCTTTCGCCAAAGGCGCTTCGACTCAAAAGCTTGTTTACCTGCCGGTTTAGTAGAAGCCCCTGTGGCTAAAGACGAAATGTGGCGGGGTTTACTTTCTGGACCTGGATTTGACACCGCTGATGGGAGGATTTGCATTTTAGCCATCGCTCAATACGAAAACAGTGCAGTGCACAATTTGGCGCTGATCCAAATTTGGATTCAATGGCCTTGGGAGAATTGGGTGTTCGTTCTTTCAACCTGATATCAGTTGTGGAAATGGAAACTCAATTGCCTCCTGTTCGACGATTAGGTACAAACACCTTTCCCTCGAGGCTGAGCATTTTCTATCGTTTCCTTTCTATCCTAAGCACATTTCAGTTCACCTTATCTCTAAAGGGGATATTAGCGGAGACCCCAGCCGCGGGGCGTTCTCTTACTTGCTGGTGAACTCATCCAGCATGCGGCTGGCGTCCCTCAGCTCTCTCTCCAGCTTGGCGTGGTCAGAGGTGAGCTCTCGGATCCTCTGCTTGTTGACTTCGATCTGCTCCTTGAACGTCTCCTCCAGGCCGCTGGCCTCCTCCATGCGCTGCAGAGTCTCCAGCTGCTTACGGAACACGGCGTTGCGCTGCTCCAGGACCCGAGCCCGGTTGATGTAGCGGGCGAAGCGGCTGTTGAGCTCCTGGAGGTTCTCCCAGCCCTGGATGGCGGAGATGCCCGCCGAGTCCTCGGGTTCTTCGCGGAAGACATCCGAGTGCTCGTACTTTTCCTTGCGCACCTCCTTGCGCAGGTAGCTTGTCTTGAACATGCTGGTAGCTTTCTCTCCCTTGGACAGGTGGTATCCCTCAAAGTACTTGTGCTCTTCAGCTCTTTATTGTGTGAAAACTGGGGTGCTCACCCTTGGCTGTCTCATGCTAGACTAAACGCCACACAGCACTGGCTGGCGACGAAATACATCCCGGCACCTCCCCTCTGACGGTGACCGCAACTCGTGAGCCTGGGGCCTTCCAGAGTTGATTGTTGCCTTTGTTGCGGGGATTTGAAAAGCCACGTTCGGTGATGACAAAGCAGAACAGCAAAAACACACACACACACAATTATGCGCCACGCGAAAGCACTGGCTGGTTGCACACAATTAGTGCGCTTCTTAGTCAGCTGCTTTGTAGATCCATGGATGGTGCAGGAGTTTGGATTTCAGCCCAATCGCAAGGACAGAAGGGAAGTTTCGTGCATGGCAGCTTGTTCGGATGCCAGTTTGTGCTACACAACCGCAGTAAAGGCTACGATGTGATGATGGAATGTTTCTTTTCATAATAGTTCTGTAAACCAAGTGGAATGGATGACCCTTGAATTTCTTCAAAGGTTAACAGTAGATACCAGAATGTTCGAAAAATGTTCATGATTCGGTATTTCCCTTCCTGAGATTTATCTTTGTATGATGCCATGTCATTTGAAACATGTTTAAAAATCAGAATCCACAACATTACACCCCTATTAGTTACAGTTTTACAGTTTTTTTACTATAGACAGTAAATATCAAACCAGTGAGAGATCATAAATTGTGTCAGCACTCGTCAGAACGCAGCACTCTGATTAAAATTGCGATGCTGCATGAAGAACGAAACAGAAAAATCCAGCAGTGTAAGGGGGTCTCCGGGTTCGCCAAACTCGTCATATCGAGACCGGAAGTGGCAGCAAAACGCAAGTAATGCCCGGCCTGCTTAAACAGCGCACAATTGGATTGTGTCAGCTGAAAGGTTTTGAGATGGATCGAAATGATAGCATCGATTTGCCAAATAATTGATTCTTCAGAATTTGTCAAATAATCGATCATTCAGAATTTGTCAATTGTTTTGAAATCTGTCAATCACAACGACAAGTATACGTTGTATAGTTTGCTTTAAAAAAACAATTTAAGAATAGAAATACACTATTATTATTATTTTCAATATCCATATTCCTGTTACTGCTAATCTTGAGCCACAACAGCGTGATTGATTGAAGAAATCTGCCTACTTCCAATCCTTTTTTTAAATTTTCTCGTAAAATACCAGAAAACTTTTGTTTCACTTTAAATCCAGACATATATTTCATTAATCCTCTTTCGATGTTGTTTCATAGTCTCGAACAGTGTTGGCAATAAACTACTTTGAGCCTCTCGGGGAAGCCAAACACAAGTTGTCTTGTGCATATTCGCCATAATATCCGATGCGACTTTGAGTCTATCTATCTTCTTTTGTCACGAGGAGCTGGATCACTTGAGTACACGTTGGATCAGTGAAGCGTTCCGATGGATGAAAACGAAAGCCTGTTGTTTATGCTCTTACTCAGGCCTTATAGGCGGTCATGGCAGAGGCTAGAGAGAGATTGAGCAAGTAGGCCCTGATGTTTCGGCGGCTAATAAAATCTAATTGGAACATTTCGAGGCGATTGTCGGATCTCTGGTGTTTTGGGAGTTGGGTGTTATACTCTTTCCATTGCAGTTCCATTGAAGATTAGGCTTGCTTAATTCTCTTCGGCATCGTCAATCTTTTTTGCCTGCAGAACATCTTACATTCCTCTAGTTTGACTTTTTGGACTTATTGATTGTGTATGACTTCAACATTCACGATTTGTCATAACCCAACGGTAGTACGGCCCAATGAAATGCTGAGAGAATATAAAAGATTAGGAACGAGCAATTTTAAATAATGAAAGGTAAATACTGAAGGAAAAAAGGGGGTGTTAAGGAATATACGTTAAGTATAATTTAAAAAAACAATGACAAAACAAAGTTTTGTAAGCGTGTGCAGAGAGAGGGCGAGAGAGAGAAAGAGATTTATACACACGCACACACGCACACACACACACACACACACACACACACGCACACACACACACACACACGCACACAGCCTGGTGTGAACAGGCATCTCAAGACAATTGAGACAAGATTGTCAAAGGGGGAATAAAAGGAAGAGTGATCCTGGCTTTCCATCAAAACAAAGAATTGATCGCGGGAAGTCATCTGAGCTGCAGTCCGTCCTTGTTTTTCTGCTGTTCAGGATGGATGACCACAGTCTGCTTTCCAATCAAAACACTCGCGCCGCCGACGGTCAACTTGATGAGACTTTTTGAGCACTCGAAACTAAACGGCCGCTCTCACAGTATAAGTGACACATAATTTGAATGCTGATTAAGTGTGAATAGCCAGATGTCCCCCAAGTCTAGCGGTGGCGACTAATGCCATTATGTAAAAACAACACCATATGAGAGATTAGCAGTTGTATGGAGAACATTTCACTTTTTCATGCAAAAATAATAACCTGATAACCTGATAAACTGTCCATTGTAGTAATCGCTGAATAAACAATGAAATAAAAAAACAAAAAAAGTAAACAAAGCAAAATCTGACATTACCTTTTTTACTCAAAAATATTTTTTTTTCTCTACAACATTATTTGCAATGTATATATTTTTCATTGACATAAAACCAGGATGGCTCAAACACATCTTTATACCTCATGATTAAAACATTTCCTTGCTCTATGAGAAATTAATGTTTCACAAACCTGTTTATTTTCTGTTTCAGAGGGGGTGGGGGTGTTGGGAGGGGGTCACTTTTTTGCGTTGTTAGTTGTGCTTGATGAATGCATGTGTCAACAGTTCCCAGGCAAATACAGATTAGCAGCAATAGCTGGTGAACACTGCGAAAGATTTTGCTCCCATAATGCATCCTTCAAGGGTCAGTGGAGTGGAAAACACAATACGTGCACTGACTCCTCATGGTCCACTTGTAGAGATGAGTCCAAATGAATGTTGATGCGCTCTTCAGACGGGATGTGAACATCGCTTCTGATAGAGACGTCGGGCCTCATTTACCGACGTCTGAAAAAAAAAAACGGGCAGAATATGTGCATTCACTCAAATAGCGCTGTTAGTGAGCATGTGGTGCGTGACCGAGATTATGGCGCGACGGGTTCTTTGCACATCATATTTGTTGCGCATAATACGGTTTAACCTCTTCCAGTTTGTTGAACTTTGACATTCGTGCATTGATAATCTCAAGTAAACTGCTGAGTATGAGGCTAAGGGACGATTGTTTTCATTCCACAAGCAACATGAACAATAGCATGAAAACTGTCGTCCGAATTTGACAGCATTTTAAACAACCGAAGGTTTCCCAGTAACGCTTCAGAATTTTGGCACTGATTCATAGAATTCCTACTTTATTTGAGTGACTTTTTCGTGTGTGTGTGTGTGGGTGGGGGGCAAATATAATTTTATTCTCGTTCTTACTTTCCGCTGCTATTTTTTTATTTCCCTATGCACATAGCCTTAATGCTACTTAGTATACATGATCCACCTTTAATGTATATTTTATAAGGGAAAAAAAAAGAAAAGAGCAACGATAGCTGGTGAACACTGCGAAAGATTTGGCTGTCCCAATGCATCCTTTTTTTTTTCATCATGCATGTGCCCCATTGGGAAACAAGATTAAGGATATATGTATTCATGAGATGCAATACAAGAGCAGTGTCAAAGAATTCAGCGTTGCTACAAATAATGATTCTTTCATAAAACTTTAATCATGGGGTATGAGAAATGCACATACTGAGAGGAGTCGAGAATTACATCAAACTGCAATCATAAACATATTACTGAATGTTTCTATCGTGGTAAAAGAAGCATTTCTTATCTTTAAAAAATAGATATTCTGACGTAGCTCCTTGTATTTGAGCTTCTTTTATGGCAAAAATCATGAAAAATTGCTGTCTAAAGCTTATCAAGCACAACTAAGTGCCAAAACAACAACACCAGCAGTCCTGGAAGATAGCTCGAACTTTTATGGGTTTCCAATTGTGCACAAAGAGAATTGGAAAGTAATCATGAAGCTTCCCTTGCATAATAATAATGACAAGTAGATAAAAAACAAAAAAAAAACAAATGCATATTGATTAAGCGTACTATCCTGTGAAGGTGATTTGAAGGCGGCGGTAGCCTTTCAGTGCATACATCACCACCCTGGCTGACACTAATGGCTTTGCCACGCTAACCTTTTGGCACACTCCCACTGGCTCCCCTCCCTCCTTCCTTCTCTCCTGCTCCCATCCCCTCCCATCCTCCTTTTCCCCACGGCGTCATCATCGGGGGTGCTCATTTAAGGCGGCGGAGAAACAACTTTTTGTTGTCTCTTCCATGGAGGCGAGTGAGGAGGAGCGGAGCATGATGATGGCTCTCGAGGACTTTATTTAAGCACTGGCCAATCTGAGAGGGCTCTTTAATTGCTCTACTAATTGAACTGGACATTGCCTTGACCTTCTACATTATTTGCAGGTAAGATGGATATTCCATTACTTAATAATATAGTTTTGTTATTTACCAACAGAATGACTTTTCCATTTTGTCTTAATTACCCGTAAATGGTTCCCATATTTTTGGTGATTTATAACATCTCAACATCATTCATGTCCTTGAGCATGTCACCTTTATTACTCTTAACGTAGATGGGATGGCCATCACAAAACACTTTGCAGTCAGCATTTTAAGTAACATTTTTACACGGAAAAATGAAAGTCAAGTCCTGTGTAGGACACTAAAAGACATTTTAAACTAAAGTAAAGCAAAACTACTCACCCTTTCAAGACACCTGACTGGCAGGTCATGGAAAGAGGACAGGAAGATGTCTTCAGAGAGTTACTGTCACCTTGTGGGTTTTGTATCGGGATTGGTGTATTATGTTAAACAAGTATCAGCATCTTGACTGGATGACCCGTTCAGGGTGTCCCTGGCCTGTAGCCCAAATTAAGCTGAACGCCACCTCACACGCGACCCTTGCGCTATAGAAAATGATAAATGGCTGGACGGATATCAGTGATTGTTAATGAAATTGTGTGACATTTTTGGTAATGGGCACAGAGACGCTTTCTTATATCGCAGTCAGTTTAATTTCCTGTTCTATGGTGCCATCACTAAAAAAAAAAAAAAAAAAACTTTAGATGCTCAAGATGTTGAAATCCAAACATCCAGAAAATCCCAAGGAGAAAAGTCATCGTGAAGAAGACATATGGACAAAGCTAGCGAACTATTATCATATCTGGTGACTACATTTTGGGTGCAAATTCTTGTCCTTTTCATTTTCATTATTGAATGACTACACAAACTCTCAACACATCGAGTTGTTCCTCTTGTTTTCCAGCAACAGGGCAAGCGTTGGGTCGCTTCTTAATTGGCCATTGTTCCCTTTCACGTCACAATCAAAGAGTCCGTGCCTCGTCCCCGGTGTTGTCCGCACACACAAAGAGTTGCCATTATAAATATTTAAAAGGTTTAACATTTACAAGCCCTCTCATTAATCCAGGTCAATCAAAGGGCATTGAATTGATCGCAGCTGGAATGTTCTGTTTGTCTTAGGTACACGAATAAAGACACTCGTGCTGTATTTGTAAGTATTTTGCCCCTTCCCGACAAAGGATGTCAAACCCCTGACTATCTTAGGTCTTCTAAGATTGTCCTTGAAGATTATCCTTTGATCTGAGATATGTTCAGAGTGGATTTGACCCCGATAATGGTGTTTAAAACGACTTGAGGGTGACAATCTCAAATATTAAATGTGTTTGATAGTTACAACCACAAATCTTCATGTGTGTGTGTGTGGGGGGGAAAAAAATGACTTCAGTGGAGCTATTTGACTCTCTGAACTGTTGCATGAATAGAATGTCGCCAATCAAATAAAGAGGTGGCAGTCAATGAAAAAAAAAGTGTCCTACCTGGGGCGGCCTGGTGGTCCAGTGGTTAGCGCGTCAACCTCACAGTGCAGAGGTTTGGTTGTTCGTCTGTGTGTGCCCTGCGATTGGTTGGCAACCGGTTCAGGGTGTCCCCCGCCTACTGCCCGAAGACAGTTGGGATAGGCTCCAGCACCCCCCGCGACCCTTGTGAGGATAAAGCGGATCGGAAAATGAATGAATGAATGGATGGTGTCCTATCTGATACCTGATGTCGATTTTGTATGAAAGTTGAATATTATTGTTAGATTTTTATATTATATATGAGTCAGAAAAGGTCACTATCAGGGGTTTAACACAAAAACGTTTTGAACTGTTTTTTGATTGAAAAGATGCAAGTGTATCGAATCAAACCAAATCAAATCGTCACGACATCGAGGTACGTATCAAATCGTATAGCTTAGATGTACTGGTAATTTCATTTAAATTGTTGCACTCATTCAGAAATACTCCATCCAAAAAAACCCCTTAAAACTAATGCTAAAACTAATAAAAACTAGAATCAAACATTTTCGAAATAGTAAAAATGATTAAAACGCAATAAGCCTGCTCTAAAAGCCTAAATTAAAACTGAATATTAAAAAAATGTCAAAATGAAATAAAAGTACAAGTCCCAAACCATTACAACCCTGACAAGAAAAGAGGAAATAAAATGCTCAAATTCTGCCAAATTATCAGTTTGTGTGTACTCCTCCTATGTGAACTTAATTAAACAGTGTCGGTGAAGTCCCAAATTTTATGCGCTGACGAGACCACTTGATTTTTCCCTCCCTCTCTCGAGCTCATTATCCTTGCAGTCTACCCTGTGTAATACGAGGCTACAAATGCGCTTTCTTGTTTTGATGTAGCTTAAAATGCCTTGTAACCAGACTGCACTTAGTCTCGTGACACTGCCTTCCGATAAAGTTGACAAGGTTCAATAAATTGCATGAAGGCCATTCCTCGCTGTAGTGGCCGCAGCTTAAGTTTCCAGCCGTATTCATAGGGACTGCACCGCCTGCCATCCTCGATAACCTGCTGAAGGACTCGGGCAGTGTAATTTATTTTCCAATGATATGAATCCTGACCAGGTGTTGAATAATGCATCTAACTTTGTCTTACAGGTCGTGGTGACTCTCCAAATATGATTCACCCTCTCCAAGGTACGGTCTTCAGGCAAATAGTGTAGCAGTTAAGGTGTTTACAAGGAGTCGTTGCCTGGCTTCACCACAAAGACTCATCATATCCCCCCCCACCCTAATTTTGAAAGTTCAAGTTGTTCCTGAACTGGTTCCGAACAAAATGGCAGAGTTAAACATCAGCCACCTGTTGACGGCTCCTTTTCCTGATAAATTGGATTATAACATTGACAACTACGACGTGGACTATGGCATTCCGCCCGATGAGATCCCTGACACTACACAGGGTCTGGCCTTCTACGTGGCCACCATCATCATCGGCGTTGTCCTCGCTTGCATCATGCTGGTATGCGGCTTGGGGAATTTCATTTTCATCGCTACGTTGACGCGTTACAAGAAGCTGCGCAACCTCACTAACTTGCTCATCGCCAACTTGGCCATCTCGGACTTCCTCGTAGCGGTGGTGTGCTGTCCATTCCTTGTAGACTACTATGTGGTCAAACAGCTGTCGTGGGATCATGGGTTGGTGCTGTGCGCTTCGGTCAACTATCTACGCACCGTGTCGCTCTACGTGTCCACAAACGCCTTGCTCGCCATTGCAGTGGACAGGTAAGGGCTTAAGGTCATTTGTAAGCCAATCAAAATGCCTTATAGCACTTTATATACTCTCCATACTATTGGATTTATCATACATTCAATGTTTTTTTATGCAGAACACAGGTACTAAATATGCTTTGAACTTTTGTGTGGTAGCGACTGGATTTGAAATCACATGATGGGCCAAAAATGATGTGTCTTCAATTTTGAAAACCGATGACTTTCTTGGAATTGTGTCTTCACTGAAGGTATGATATTATTGCGGTGTCAACAATGTGAAATCCAACAATAGTACATTACAACAGAGATGCCATCCGAAGGAGTAAAAAAACTGGTTCATGAAGCACCACGAAGCTTCATTTTCCCATCAATAATGAGAACAACTATATAACTGTCACTCATTGTCTTACACATTAAACATACCGGACAACCAATTAATGAAATGAAATAGTAATTGCAGACCTGCCAATCAATAATCCAACAAAAATATAGAGGCGGCGGCCCGGTGTTTCAGTGGTTAGCGCGTTGACCTCACAGTGCAGAGGTACCGGGTTCAATTCCAGCTCTGGCCTCCCTGTGTGGCGTTTGCATGTTCTACCCGTGCCTGCGTGGGTTTTCTCCGGGTACTCCACTTTCCTCCCACATTCCCAAAACATGCATGGCAGGTTAATGGAACACTCTAAATGGTCCCGAGGTGTGAGTGTGTGCGCGTGGATGGTTGTTTGTCTATGTGTACCCTGCAATTGGCTGACAACCGGTTCAGGGTGTCCCCCGCCTACTGACCAAAGACAGGCCCCAGCACATCCCGCGACCCTTGTGAGGATAAGCGGATCGGAAAATGGACGGATGGATGTCTCATTCACTTGAGCAGTGCAATCGGAGAACCACATTCTCTGTGGTCCATTGCACAGAAGATTATGTTAATGTCATATTTGAACAAACAGCCGTGCGTCAATAACACATACTTTGAGGATGGAGGGCAATCCAGCTGCGCTGATCAATGGTGCGTGCCGGCTGACTGCGGAGAGCAAAACCGTGAAGCAAATGTTTGTGCCATTTAGAATGCTTGTATTGCATGAGGTGTTGGTATCATTTTAGTCACAGTCAGCTACTTCAAATGATATTGAACCAACTGCTTCATTTCTAGCGTGCTATGAACAACTCCCATTTAATGTCTTTGTAGAGCCACTTTCACTAATAGTTTACATGAGCGACTATCATGCAGCCGCTCAGTGACCCTCGAAATGAGTCTTTGTCTGTCTATAGCTACAAAAAAACAAAACCAAAAAAAACTATGTGTTCTATTGACTGGCAACCAATCCAGGGAGTACACTGCCTTTGCCACAAAATCAACCGAGATAAGCCCCTAGGTCGGCCATCAGCCAGAAGTGGAAAGTGGTCGAAAGTGGTCACCAAAAAAATAGTTTACCAGATGTTTTTACTCCAACAAATCAGCAAATGATTGAGGAAAGAACCAATGGAATGATTAAATGACAATTCCTTAACAACAAAAAAGGAAAAGAAATTGGACTAAACTTCTGTCCATTGCCTCTGTAGCATGTCAATAATCCATCCATCCATCCATCCATTGATCTATATTCTATACCGTTTATCTTCATCAGGGTTGCAAGGAGCTCGAGCTATCCCAAAATGTCTGCCTCTCCAATTGGGAGATTGACCCGATCGACTGCCTCATCAACTTGATGTTGTCTATGTTCTCAGGTACATGGCCATCGTTCATCCTCTGAAGCCTCGAATGAAGTACGAAACCGCCTACTGCCTGATAACCGGAGTCTGGATTATTCCCATTCTCATTTCAATTCCCTCGGCTTACTTTGCCTCGGAAACCATGTACCCTCACGGACGCATCACGACGACCGCTCACAAAGTCTTCTGCGCTCAAATCTGGCCCGTGGACCAACAGGCCTACTACCGCTCCTACTTTTTGCTCGTATTCGCCATAGAGTTTGTCGGACCCGTGGTTGTCATGGCGATGTGTTATACTCAAATTTCCCGCGAGCTCTGGTTCAAGAATGTGCCTGGTTTCCAGACGGAGCAGATAAGAAAGCGACTGCGCTGTCGCCGCAAAACTGTGATGGTCCTTATTGGGATATTAATGGCATACATCCTGTGCTGGGCTCCGTACTACGGCTTCACGATCCTGCGGGACTTCCACCCGACGCTAATCTCCCGTGAGAAGAACTCACTGGTGGTCTTCTACATCATCGAATGCCTTGCAATGAGCAACAGCATGATCAATACCATCTGCTTTGTCAGCGTCAAGAACAACACGGTCACGTATCTGAAGAAGATTGTGCTGGTGCGATGGAGGTCAACTTACGCCCCCACTAGGACTGCGGATGAACTCGATTTAAGGACCTCGTCCTTGCCTGTCACAGAGGAAATTGAATGCATTCATCTGAGGTAAACACGGCCATTAAAATCTGGATTGCTCATGTGAAGAATGGACTAGGAATCAATGAGGACGCTCAATTACATGTCACGGGTATTATTTACTGTAATGCGAAAGCACACGAGGGGACAAATGCAGCATAGATTTCAGACAAAACAAGGAACGGAAAAACAAATTAATTAGGAGCAAATCGCACGAAAGCTTTGGCATATCTGTTGCTAAAATTGCCTGACTTGATGTGCTCTGAAAAACAGCAAATCCTGTTTACAGCAATGTTTGCAAATATGACGAACAAACAGGTCAGAACGTGGGATGTTTAATTAAGTTCTGGCATACATAGCATGACAGAGTTTTTTTTTTGTTTTTTTAACATGCAAAATATGTTGGTTTTCCTGCTTATTTGGAGCACGCTACTGTATCTTATGTCTCTTTGCGGTTTATGAATTTGCGGCAGTATTTTCTGAGCCAAGGAGCAAATTTTACAGCGCCAAAATATACAGTAGATTGAATTTCTGATCTCGTCTCAGTTAAAACCTCCATTTACTTTCTCACTGTGAAATCTGGCCCTGATGAATTAATGATCACAAAGTTAGTTGTGGGAATGTCGTCAGGGCAGACATAAAACTGAATCCTGCTGGATGCGATCAATGGCAAGAGCATTTAAGCATTCCGCTTGTCACTGTACATCGCTGACATAGATAAACGAAGTGAACACAAGGTTAACGTAATTTGTAGTAAATAATCAGGCACACCCTTGATCTTTCATTTTACACCAATGAGCCGCAGTAGTTGGAAATCATTACATTTTTATGTAAAAAAAAAAAAAGATGACGCACGGTGCTTTTGACAGTCCTGTTGACTTGATTTCATGGACAAAGTAATCTTTCTTGAGGCTGAAAAAAATAGTATTGATGTTAGTGTGCCATACGCGGGCTTAAATGTACACGGCATTGTGAAATGAGGCCGTATTACAGTTACATGGACTACTTGGATGGAACAATTGACCCGGCCTGCATTAATTCATTCATCATTATTCACGATCTTAATAGAGCCACAGAATGTGATCTTGTTCTTTGAATTGTCACTTTAGCAAAATCCCCCCTCTTAGCCTATGACATTGTGTGGTGCCATTTAATGGCGTGTTTGCTCTTCAATTGGTTTTCCATAAAGACTCCGCCAATACAGACATTGTGCCTTTTTGTTATTGGTTACCCTTTCGATGACATTAAACGCAACATTTCACTATGGTCACATGACTCAAATAAACAAAGGGAAAGAGCAAGATGTTCGTACTCGGATTGTAATTCTATTTTCATTCCAAACGTATTTGTTTTCCCTCCTTGCTCTGGATCTAGATCTGTCTGTCTCTCTGGCAAACACGTGACACCCAGTTAGCATTTTTTGATTGCAATGGAGAAAAAGGAAAAATGGAGCCTCCAATTGGATTTGCTGCACCCCTGACCATTGTTGCGCCGTCACCTGCTGCTTTTTTTCTTCGCGTCGGTGAGGTGGACAACATGTCTTGTACATATTTGTTCTGTTGTCCATGCGCATAACTCATTTGCTGCGCCACTCCCAATATTCTTCACGGGATCGATATCCACCGCTTGTGTATTTATTATTCGTTCATTAAGATACACGGCTGCTGAGGTCCATTTAAGTGAAGTGCATCGTACGCATTGCTGTAAACATGAGAAGAGGACTTAATAGCAATGTGCCTTTCGAATTTTCCCGCCTTTCAACACAGCAAGAATTCATATGTGACTGTGTCCATTTAACGAACAAGCCAATTTGTGAAACGCATTGTCTGCGATGAGTTGCAAAACCAAATCATGTGAAGTCTGCATCATGATACGTCAGTGTATCTGCACATTGCTTATGGAAACATTCTTGGGTCAGACTTCTGGCTGACACTAACGTTGCTAAAGCACACAATAATCACACACACACACAAAAGATCAAAAATACGGCTCTATGAAAAATGTAGTTAAAAACTGTGAAATTCACAAGCATTTCAATGACTACCCCATATGCAAAGAGAATCAATAATGTCAAATACCATTTGACAAATGGTACTATCATTATTAATGACAAAATAATATAGCCCAACAAAAACTCATTGAATATGACACAAATAAATAACCTCAAAAATGAATAAATTAATGTCAAAAAAATCAATCACAAAAATATGAATAATAAAGATTGAAAAATAAAAATGACTGCCTATATATAGACATACCCACTCTGATCTCAACCAACCAGGACCTGCCAGTTTTCCTCCAATCAATCATCTGTAAGCAATGCAGCTTGCGCCACACCGGTTGCCAATCAACTCGTTTGCCAAAACCTTCGAACCAGATTGAGTGGGAGCGTGGGTGGTTGTTTGTCTTTGTGTGCCCTGCCCTGCGATTGGCTGACAACCAGTTCAGGGGGTACCCCGCCTACTGACCAAAGACAGGCTCTGGCACGCCCGCGACCCTCACGAGGAAAACCAGACGAATGGATGGATGGACTTTGCCCTTCTTAATGTTCCAAGTTTTGTTCTCTTTCTTCATTTTAATGATTGCAATTGTCTTCACTTGGACATCGAGCTACCTTGTGAGTGACCTCCCAAAAATGGTGAGTCCTGACGCAACACGCACCTTTTGAAGCATGCAGATTGTGACCAGCAAAAAAAAAAAAAAAAAAAAGAAATTGAGCCAATCAATATAATTTAATGTGACTGTCCTGATTTGTTAACCTGTTTCACGTAGAGTATTAACAGGAGCCCAGAACTCACTTGACCGTAAAATTCTCTGCTTTTGTCTGCTCGTTCCTTCCATAAATCAATGTGATCGAGTCCAAATCATATTTGTGTGTGTGCATCATGGTCACGTTGACTTCAAGTCAGCTGCAACTTAAAACGCCATGATTCCATCTCGAGAAAAAGCTGACGACAATGACAAGTTCTACAACTCCACATTTGGCTCCAAATTGTTTCAACTTTGTGTTTATTCATTCCTCTCATAGACGTCATGCTTTTTAAGTTGCGTAAACTGCGTCGTGAGTTTACCCAGGGAGAGCAGATTTGACATTAACGAGGAGTTGTTGTTTTCATTTCCCCCCTGCAAATAATTCCACTGTTAACATTCTTCTTCCCTAAAAAGGTGGTAAAACACATTTGTCAGCAAAAGCTTGAAGATATGAAAACAGTTCATGTGAGACCAACTTTAGAGGAGAGGTAGCATAGATCAAATGATTCACGTCACATCTGTAATGTGTTTGGATGCACATTTAAAAAAAAAAAAGGCTACATGAGGCCCACTCCCACTTGTAGCGTATTGATATCTTGTAACTTAGAGAGTCGGTGCTCAAGATGTGCACCCACCAAGCTCTCCTCCTCGCATCATTCGGCGTGGTCTTGTAAAGTCCAGCCAACAAGTGATTAGATGATTACTGGAGGGCTGCCCTCCACCTGAATGACTGTTTGCATCCTCGCGCTCGCATTCCCCGCAGCCTGCTTGACAGTAAATCATTGGGCGCTCATGAATAATGATCCCCACTGCAGACTGGCCTTGTGCTCACGTTGGAGCCATTTGATCAATGCGCCTTTTAACAGGTTGAACGAGCAACTGAGCATTTGTCAACTTGTCCTGCGTGCGTGACTTCCTGTGCTCGGGGTGACCATTTCTTCTTCAGCGGCGAGCTGTTTTTTTTTTTACACTTGGTGGATATGGCGTCGAATGCAAACGTTAGAATCACTGTTCATGAGTGCAGTCAAGGGATTGTAGACTTGTAATGTAGCGTGTTGCCTCAAATACTGAAGTGGTCGTCCTAATAAATATGAAGTTGTCGCATCCGCTTACAACTCAAACATTTCGTTTAGAGACTTCTCCTTTACCCATAAAGGGGGAAAAAACGGGAATAAGAATGAATTATATCAGTTGAGATTGTAATTATCAGCACACTGGCGTTAAAGGGCGAGCTGAGAGATCATCAGTGATGCCATGGAAAATATCCAAGTTCTCTTTTGCCTGAAAATTATTCGTGACATTTTTTTTTTCCATCAAGATTCTGCAATGTATAGTGACAGGCAGTGTTCTTCCGTTAGGTCTGAGAAAGTGCAATATCTTTTTGCTTATCGTGACAACAGAATATGTCACAGCTTCCTGTGAGTGTCAATTAAAAATGTTGATTTAAATAGGGCTAGGTTTCTGACTGATTAAAATAAACGGTGTAAATTATCTGGCTAGCTGATTTACATTCTGGCCCTTCAAATATCGCGTAAATGGCCAATGTTTGCCAATTGTTTTTTTTACCCTTCCCTGATCAAAATATTTACAGAAGTTGTCCACAAGTCTCATCATTTATAGTATGTATTACACATAAATCTATACCATAACTTTGTATCATATATATATATATATATATATATATATATATATATATAAATGACATTTGCTGATAAGGTCAGCTTCAATTTTTTTTTTCACCAATCAAATTGGCATCACCCTAAAAAAAAAAAAATCATCTTTCCCCAATAAATAACCTTTTGGAATTCACACCCAACAAAAAAAGCTGAGGCGCTGCAAGAGAATTGTAAAAGAAATGGTGGATCGCATGAGCTATTAGTAGCTGCATCGAAAGAGAAGCAAAACAGATCATTGATTTTCTTGTCTTTTTTTTTTTTCCCCCTTGCATAAGCACGAAACAATTTGGCCTTCCCATCATGGCCATCATTTGAATCCATTTGACCTGTCCCATTTTCCTGATTTTTATGTCTCTCCCTGTCGGCCGCTGCTGCTTTTGCATATATTGCCGAATGGGACGTGTGCCCTGGCACCACAGCTCTCTTTGCATTACAATCTGGCATAAGCACCTAGCGAGTCATTTAGACTGACCAAAACGTCCATCACAGACCTGTTGATGTTGCTTTCGGCCCTCAGGATGAGACCGGAATGCTGATCGTCTCCTGTTTAAGTAGTCATGGTGACAGCATGCAAACAACGATGCGTTAGCGACTCGTACCGTCTGTATGTGTGTTAACCAAATGGCCGTCAGCACCAGGAGAAGTGTTGAGAGCTTTGGCTTTCATCTTTCATGTATTGTTCGACTAATGCACTGGGCTGATGGGAGATCACTGCAGATGGTATAATAGAAGACGGAGATGAGTCATACAGTTTGAAATAGCATCAAGACAGATAAGAAAAAAATATATATGACATGTACATACTTAGGGCTCTACCAGTTTTACTAGTTTTCATTGATTAGGTGTCAAACATGAAACACTTCTGACCATTAGATCCAGGAGCCTCTTTTTTTTTTTTAAATCACATTCATGGGTGTGCTTTAGCTTCTGCTACTCTAACAGGAGCTCATCTATGCTTTGATTACTATTTTAACCATCTTTAATTGGTGTTAAAAATGTCAAGACTTGCGTGTTTTGTTGGAGCAAAAATCTGATCGACTGTATTTTAAATACGATAGCTTTTGAACTGTGATTTGAGATAACTGGAGTGAAATGTTACTGGGGGGGGGGGGCTGTAGACTTTATATATTCACTGTAGTTTTTTTCATCACTTTTCCTGTTCCACCACCACCAAGCAAAAACCTGTTTCTGAAAGATATCTTTTCCAAGATGATTGACCTCGTAGCCATTGTAAAAGGTCCGATTCTAATATAAGTTCGCTGACGTACTCCTTTTTGTCAGTGACTTGCCAGTTTATTGGATTAATTAAGACAATAGCAGATCAATGTGGACAGAAAGGAACGTTTTATCAAATTTTACCATCCAAACTTAGGACAGGATTGAGGTAAGATGAAGTTCATTTCTTCAAAATCTCATATCAGTGCTATATTGGACGATCTTGTTTTGGTTTCTCTTCCCTCTGGGAGGATATTAGTTTTCATTCGTCTCTCCGTCTATGTTTGCATTAACTGACTTCTCGTGGAGGACATTCAGCAGAGTTAAATCAATTTTTATCTTGTGGAAAGCCTCGGGGTCTTTTTGTGCGAGTACGTCCAGACGGGCTTCTTTGTAGCTCCCAGTGTGACCTTTTTCAAATGACAGTGGAGGAATTATTTTAAGATGCCGTCTTCTCTACTCCAAATTGAAAGACTTGAATGGATTCATTTAGGAACTTTTCGCTGCTGCCCAGCAACCCACCAGACTCACAAATTGCCCAGCAGGCATCATTTGGGAGTATGAAGGTCACTGGGATTGAATTTCATAAAAGCGATTGTGTATTAATGGATCTTTTAATTTGTTGGGGACATGGTTACGTTCTTATGTGATTTGGATGGACTGTGGGAAATGTATTCATCCATATTCTACTCCGTGTGTATTTATAAACGGACTAAATTCATATGAAGTTGCAGCAACTTGGGAAATGCTCGTACATTTATTATCAAAGTGCAAGGTTATTTGATTCGTAAATGTTTAGATAAAGGAACGGCATGGCTAAGTGATAGGGTGGTCGTCTCTCAACCCAGCGGTTGAGGATTCAATCTCTGGTTCTTGCGATCTTGTTGAAGTGTCCTTGAGCAAGATGTAGAACCTCTTGATGCTCGGTGCGTTACGTCAATGAGGAAGATGGTGTGAAGTGCTTTGAGTGCCAAATCTAGAAAAGTGCTATGTAAGTGGCAGCCCAGATTCAGGGATGATTAGGTTAAAAACCTATTCCGATACAAATGTAGTCAGTAGCGATATCCTTAACACCAAAACTAACGTTTCTAGTGTCGCTCTTGCTCTATTCTGTACTTAAGATGATATATTTGAGTGATTATTGCCTGTCATTTCACACCACGGGACTGTCGTCGATAGGTTTCATTCAATCTAATGGCCGGTTCAATACACGGGACCCCCAAGTGGCCTTTGGTGATGACTGGATGAAAAATATCCCTCACAAAAGCAAAACGTATTTCCTCTTTGTGCCATAGCCCCGAGATGCCAGGCCTCAATTACTCACCAGCATGTCGTCTGCAAGACAAACACCTACCTAAAGTGCTTTCTTTTTAATTGACCCAAATTGCAAATGTATGCAATTTGAGCTCTCTAAATTAAATCATATTTCCGTATGTTTTGGATGCCGGAAGGAAAACAATTTTGTTCTCATGCCATGGCAACCACTGGATTGCCTGCTTTTGTGAACTCTCTTATTGATAGCCCGTGATAGTTGTCTTGCACTTCGGAAATAATGAGTTTGTTGCAGGGCTTGTTCGGTATACTCGAATAACTATGGAACCGAATCAATAGACATTCATTTACTTGTGAGCTATCATGTTGTACTCAATAAATCTTTGTAAAACACAAAATGTAATTTAAGACAACATAAAATCCCCCAAATGTGTTAAATGATCAAGATGCAATTTTAAATGACCTCATTTTTTTTTGGTATACTTTCCTGCATACCTTTTGCAACATCCGTTATCGTATTGTTACATTTTTGTCGGTTCAAATATGTGGCCTGGCTCATTGCTCAAAGTCTGGGTAACACCTCTGGTACATAATCTTTTCAATCTGAACAGTATGATTTTACTACTGTGGCACTCGACAATTTCATTGGGTAGACCCGTGGCGCCCTCCTGTGTTAAAAACGGGAAACGCACAAGGCTCGGTATCTTTTTATCGCTATATTTTATTTCACTTTTATAAGTGTTCACGATTCTCTCCTTGCCTGCGTAATCCTCAGTTATGTAGCAAAAAAAACGAACAAATATGAGGTTATTTGTGCTTTTAATCCAACGCAAAGTGGACACATGACAACGGCTCATTAACATATACAGTGAGATTATGACTAAAATTCCCTCTAGAAATATTAAATACACTCATTACAATGAAGCTCAAGCATTATTTAATGACTAAAATAAAGTAAGGGGCAGACATTTACGGATTAATACACTCCCACGTTCCCAGCCAGGAATTCCGTACACATGCATGTGCTTATATGATAGCACACTATCTCTAACTTCATGAAAACGGAAATGAGAAGCGAAACATGAGGCAGTATCGCAGTGCTCCTTGGACTACAATTTTCAGATGACTCGAACGCAACCTTGAAGTTGTGAGAAAATGCACACACTTCTCCCTTTGCTATCGAGCACCTCCATCCATAAACGAGAGCCTGCAGACCAATTCTAATTCCCACTTTTGGACACCTCTTGAACGGCTTCGATCCACTCCTTTCTCTCCTCGGCAGTGGCCGCCTGCAGGAAGTAGTGCCTTTCATCAGAGGTGATGATTTCAAAAAGGTTGCCGTCCACGTCGTATCTTTTGGCTGGAATCGCAGGAGGCAAGTGATTGAGAGATGAAAAGGTACCGAGGAGCAAGAAAAGGGATCACGTGTGTTTCGCAACCTACCGTCGGGCACAAAATCCACAGCCGTGACCACGGAGCCCCGCAGGTAGATGGACCCCAGGGGGTCATCACCCTAAATAGAAAGATTTTAAGTTCAGCAGCAGAATAAAAGCTTTCCCACTCAGCGATCATTGTTTTAGGAATGCAGGAATGCATACAGCACAGGTGTCAAACTCAAGGCCCGGGGGCCAAATCTGGCCCGCCATGTCATTTTATGTGGCCCGCGAAAGCAAATCAAACATGTCAATTTCTACGATGATGGCTAAAATTTTAACCAACATTTCAACCTCTCATATATAATAAATAAGCGAGATATTGTCAGCATTTTCTTGTTACCAAATCCCTGATTACACGAATTGAAACAATCGTTGAGTGAACCATTATTCTTCACTTTATTATATGTTTTCATAGTCGTAACGGCCCTCCATGAGAAACGATCACTACGATGTGGCCCGCGACAAAAATGAGTTTGACCCCCCCGGCATAGAGCATCGCACTTAAAGAGGACGGCAACTCTTGGAGGGGAAATGCAGTATTTACCTTGGTGGGGTTGTAGTAATGCATATAGGCAGGGTCACTCCTCAAAATGAATTTCCGGACTTTCCAGTTTTTTCTCTTGTGGCCCTGTGAACGTTGATGCAATGAAGATCGGAAGCTTCTTTCCATCACATTGCTGTTGGACTCAAACTCTTTGTCAAGTTATTTTACTTAACTTACCTGTTTCAGCAAACAGCCTTGTTTAACGATATTCCCTCTGAATTCTTCCTTGACAAGAGTGTCCTCGTCACTGGAGTAGCCTTCGCAGAAAAATCCGCTGTCCGCCTGTCACAAAATCACACATGCCTAAGATGCAATCTAAGACCTGCATCCAAAAACGCTGCCTATCACTTTCCAAACCAATTTACTCGATGAGACAGTCTAAATGAGTGTCTCAGACTGACAATGGCCCTTGAGATCATCATTTTCACGCGCTGCTGACTTAGTTGACCATGTAAGGGTGAATGCTGAATTATTATGACTGAGAACTTGAAACAAGTTCATTTTTAGTCTTGCCTTTTGGACCCTTAAAGGGGAAGTCAACCGCAAAATGTTCCTTACAATAATATGTTCTATGCACCTTCGCGAGTCAAAACACTGCGCTCTCATTCAGATTGCGTTCCTGGGATATGAGTTTAGCAGCAAAATCAACCCGTTTTTAGCTATCTGAGGGCGCGGCCATTTTGCCACTTTCTGTCTGTAATTGCCAATTTTGGCTCACCTGTTTTCTGAAGCTGAGCCATGATTGGTTGTGACCTAAGCCTTGAGCAACCGTGATAGCGTTTTTAGTCAAGAAGAAACAAGTTGAAAAATGGCCGCCCTCTGAGATGGACAAAAACGTGGATTTTACGGCTTAGCTCATATTCCAGATACCCAATATTCATCAGAATGCCGTGTTTAGACTAGTGGGGCTGGATAGAACATATTCTTGTCATGAAAATTTCGGGTTGACACATTTTTTTTACACCTAATGCTGCCCAAACAGTACTTTCCTCTCCATGTACCACCATTATGGTGAAAATTAAAAAAAAAAACAGTAGGATAGTTGGCCAAAGTGCTTATCAAAAGCAGGATGTTTTATTCATAAAGTTATTTGGGGGCGTCCCAGTGGTCGACTGTTTAGCGCGTCGGCCTCACAGTGCAGAGATGCAGGGTTCGATTCCGGCTCTGGCCTTCCTGTGTGGAGTTTGCATGTTCTCCCCGTGCCTGCGTGGGTTTTCTCCGGGTACTCCGATTCCTCCCACATTCCAAAAACATGCATGGGAGGTTAATGGAACACTCTAAATTGTCCCTACGTGTGAGTGTCAGCGCGGATGGTTGTTCGTCTCTGTGTGCCCTGCGATTGGCTGGCAACCAGTTCAGGTTGTACCCCGCCTACTGCCCGAGGACAGCTGGGATAAGCTCTAGCATGCCCTGTGACCCTTGTGAGGATAAGCAGATCAGAAAATGGGTGGATGAATGGATGGTATTGCAATAATAAACATGAAGTTGATGCACATTTTGGCGGACCACATAAAATGATGTAGCAAGCAGGATCCGGTCCCCGGTGGACGAGAACGAGCCTGTGCTATGTGGATTCCCCCTCTAACCCCGCACGTCCCTGCTACCGACCACTCTGAGCACAATCAACCGAGAATTACCGTATGATGGCGGAAATTTTAATATGGCTCTTGTATTAGATCTCACTGAAAAAGAGATAAAAGGCTCTCCCAAGAATTTTTTTTAAAGCATCCTCAGCAGAGCCCAATAAATTATGTGCATCAACTTACAAAGTAGTAAAGAGCATCGGTCTGATCCAACAAGACGGACTTCTCCCCGCTCACCGCACCATCCTTTGAAAGATCGCCGGCGGGCTGCAAGAAGCCCTCGTTTAGGAGCCCTGTGGCTAACATGAGCGCCTCGGGCCTGTTCCTGGCTTTCTCCTTGGAAACGAGCCACTCCACCACCGTTGAACCTTTTTTTTTTTTTTTTTTTTTTAAAGAAAACATGAAACCTCATCGTGAAACTTAGTATCGGTGCGGGAAAAAACCCGTGACAAAAGCAAAGCTACCAGTGAAGCAGTGGTTGAAGATTCTGTTCTCTCTCTCCAGTTTCAACTCCTTGACCCCTTCATCCTGGTCTCTCAGCTGAGTATACAGCTCACTAAGAGAACACAAATGGGGGACTTTAGTGAGATATCAAGCAAGACTGTCACATTAGTTACTTTTGGACTTAGTTTGTGCGGACTGTAGCGACCCTACGTCAGGTTGATGGTGTCGGGCAGGCGAATGGAGCGTCTGGTGGACTTCCTGGCAAACCTCTTGCCCCCTTGCAGGCACCGAACAGCCCCCTTGATGTCCTTCACCCACACTTCCCTCTCCTCCACGTGCGACGCTTGGAAGAAATGCTCCTGTTTCTTGTGCGTGGTGATCTTGAACACCAACTGGAGAATGAAATGTGATCTCACTGATGCGCCGTTTCTGCTGCAAGTAATGTGTGTGTGTGTCTGTATCCGACACGGGCGTACCGTTCTGTTGCCACAGTCCTGACAAGGACTGATGATTGCAGCTCCCTTAAGTGGGATCATTCCTTTGGGAGACTGGTCTGTTTTCTTCTTGTAGAATTCCAACCCGTCTTCAGACAACACCACCCATACAGCCGTCCAGTAGTTCAACAGTGAGCTCTTTGAGCCACCAAGACATGACATTTTTAGATGAATGTTTATTTGTACTTGGTATTATCTTTTGTGCATACATCTTAAGATGATAATAGGGTGAATGGATGTGTCACTCACACTCGACATTTCAGATTTTAACTCATCAAATTTCAAATGCTGCATTGGCGTAAATGTTCTGTCGTCTCTCCATCGCCTCCCCATTTTCAACCTCTCGACCTCTGTCAATCTCTTTTTATGTTGAAGAAAGAATCTTTCAGATTTGGACCAACTACCGTAAGGTACTGGGTGTTACTTTGGTCAAACCTTTAAAAGAAATATGGAAGGGTAAAGTGTGTGGAATTTAGGGCCATCTAGTGGTGAACTAGTAGAATACAATGACCAAAGCTCCAAGCGAGTCTATTTTGAAGCACTCCGGTGCCTCAGAGAGACCATACTTGGCAAGCTCACCGCCATTTTTTTTTTAGCAAAGGTGCAAGCAAAATGTCATCCAAAACGACTTCTGGTATTCCCTCAAGTGACTGAGTAAGTGCATGGATATTGAGAAACTACGTTCGTCAAGTTTGTCTCCTTTGCATATCTGTAGCAGAAAGATGGCGGCGAAACAGGTCAGCCTCCTCTAGGCGAGGCGCGCCCTATGTAATGCAATTAGCGATTACGTCACCAACAATTACAGCGAAGAAATTACGTTGTTGTGACATAACGTATTGAAATTAATAACTTAAAAATAATGAACAGGGAAAATCAACACATTTTTACACGCTGTCCTTTTTTATGTTTTTACTTGCTGCTTGACACACTTTTAACTTTTTCTGTAGAAAAAAAACGTAGCTCTCTGTGTGCCATAATCATGACCAGAATCATAATAATGTGTTGTAGTAGATCCAAATGTAAAACAGAGACCGACTTTATTCGTAAAAATTGTGTGCAATACTATAATCCATTGTAAAGATTCACAGTTTAAATATCATTGTGGGACAAACAAAGGATATCTTAATCTTAATCAACACTGATCTTAATTACACGACATTTACATAAATGTTTGAAAACAACCAGTTCTAAAATATTCTATGCGACTGGATTATACTCAGAGATGAAAGTCCTCCGGATTTTCCCGGAATTCCGGGTTTTTCAAAATTTTTTGAAAATCTCTCCGGAGAATTGAGGAAAATTTGTGTGTGTGTGTGTGTACATATATATAATTTATTTTTTTTTTCCGGAATTTTCAGAAAAGTCCACTTTCATCTCTCTAAATACTTGAGTTAAATTAGATGTAAATACAAACTGCAATTACTCATCAAGGCAAGAATCACCTTGATTTGGATTAGCGATTACGTCACCAACAATTACAGCGAAGAAATTACGTTGTTGTGACATAACGTATTGAAATTAATAACTTAAAAATAATGAACAGGGAAAATCAACACATTTTTACACGCTGTCCTTTTTTATGTTTTTACTTGCTGCTTGACACACTTTTAACTTTTTCTGTAGAAAAAAAACGTAGCTCTCTGTGTGCCATAATCATGACCAGAATCATAATAATGTGTTGTAGTAGATCCAAATGTAAAACAGAGACCGACTTTATTCGTAAAAATTGTGTGCAATACTATAATCCATTGTAAAGATTCACAGTTTAAATATCATTGTGGGACAAACAAAGGATATCTTAATCTTAATCAACACTGATCTTAATTACACGACATTTACATAAATGTTTGAAAACAACCAGTTCTAAAATATTCTATGCGACTGGATTATACTCAGAGATGAAAGTCCTCCGGATTTTCCCGGAATTCCGGGTTTTTCAAAATTTTTTGAAAATCTCTCCGGAGAATTGAGGAAAATTTGTGTGTGTGTGTGTGTACATATATATAATTTATTTTTTTTTTCCGGAATTTTCAGAAAAGTCCACTTTCATCTCTCTAAATACTTGAGTTAAATTAGATGTAAATACAAACTGCAATTACTCATCAAGGCAAGAATCACCTTGATTTGGACTGTCACAATTGCTGTTGTAAAATTGATCATGGTTAGAATTCTGTGCTCACTTTTTACCTTGTACCGTCAATATTCCCATCTAATGTTGAAGTGTCCTTTATTTTATCCCTACATGAACTAGTGATTGTACAGACACACAAGTGCAGTGTAGGCCTAGAGCGTCCTTGAACTAAGTACTGTCACATTTAAAACTAAACACAAGCTGCCTGCCTCATGATCACGCATGCCTAATTGTTGAATTGCTTGGAAGAGAACAAAAATATCCTTGGGGAATAAACATTCTGCTTCACGAAGACTGCTCACGTGGCAGCCCAGTCTGGTGTAATTCGATTACGCTTGCCTTCTGTGTGGTACATTGAATAAAATGGAGACTTTTTGTGTATGTGCCAAACTGGAGGAGTCGATATGAGGAAGTCAGTGTTCTTACCTTTTTCACCAAGTAGCCCTCTCTGATCTGTTGAGGCTCCATCACTCATCTGTTGCGTTACTGTCCCCTTCGTGCTTCTTTGTAGAGTCGGTGCACTGACTTTTCTCACTTTTTTTTGGTGGTAATTATTCTACCCGGATGTCATCAAAACCGCCAACGACAAATGAGCAGGAAGTGGCCTACTGTGTGTGTGTGTGTGTGTGTGTGTGTGTGTGTGTGTGTGTGTGTGTGTGTGTGTGTGTGTGTGTGTGTGTGTGTGTGTGTGTCAGATGAGCCGTCCATCAACTTCCTCTTTTTTTTCTGAAACTCAACTTTTGACACTTTTTGGAACATGGCTCATTTTACAAATGCTCTTTATCCATTTAGTTTTTTCCCATATATTGCAAAACACAGGTTATATTTATGCTTTAATACTGTAGTGTTAAACGTTGGAAATCTTTGCCGCTTTCATGTTTATTGGCTTTTCCTGATAAACGACCTTTTTCTCCCCTTTGCTTTTAGTTTTGGTGGTCATGACTAATACATTTGGAAAACAGGACACTATTCCGTCATGACTGACAAATGGTGGAATTTTGGGATGCACGTATTTGCTGACTTAAGTCTGTCTTTCACAGGTTCCTGTTTTATTCATTGGTCATGCAGCATTGTGCTAACGGTTACTTGAAAAAAACAAAACAAATGTCAATTAATAAATATTTAAATATTCATCTTGTGACATCACGGGTGCTTAAGTTGTAAAGTTAAATAAAGTTCATCAAAAAGCTCACGATTAAAAAATTAGTTGACATACAGTCATTTGTATTAAAATGCTAAATTGAAAAAGCGTGCCATTAACACTAGAAAGGATGTTACTGAAAATGGATGGTTGAATACAGAACATTAATCCTGTAATTTCCTTTTGCTTCAAATGTTACATGTGCTAAAGTCAATAAAAAAAGTTTAAAAAAAACGCTGTCAACTAAGAAAGGATCGTTAGATTTTAAATCATCATCACGTGAAAATTGGAATATGTTTTCAGTAGTGTTGAATCTACTTATCTCTTGCTTTAGACATATTACTGGTCCTTTAAAACGTTAGATTGGTCATTAATTCACAAATCTGGTTCTTTAATTGTGTGGCAAAAATGTTATCATGAAAAAATTATTCATGGTTTTACTTTTTGGTTTAAACGTTGGTGTTTTTTTAATGATCAAAATCAAGAAAACAACTTATAAAAACGTTAGTGGATGGATAAAATGTTGGTTGTATTCGATGAAAAAAAAGTATTAAAACTTTATAGTAATGTTCATCCTGTATTTGTATGCTGCTTCATATACGTTATTAGTGGTGTTTTGTCTTTGATAAATTATGTTAAACACAAGTACTTCATTGGGCACCATTTACTATAATTAATTGGGCACAATCCACCAAAACCCAATCTTGGTCATTGTTACTCTCTTCCCGCACTTCTAGAGGCTTCTATTAAACACCATTTATAATGCACATTTCAGAGGTGCAACTTGAAAAAAACGTTGTGGGAGGTAAATACTGTACAAAAAATGTGGCCTGACCCCTTTCGTTTATAAAGAATTCAGGAAGGATGGCATTTGCCATACTCGGAAACCCTTCGACCCCTCACAAGGAAGTGCAAAATTACAAAATAAAGACTGTCTCCGTAATTATTCCACAATACACTGACGGTGGGTTAAACGTCACTGCTCCAAAATCGTTCTATGTTTACTAAACGTACCACTCGTGTCAAGATGCCCGATTGACGTCAAAGGACAAGACTGACGTATTGCAGAGGCGGGGCCTTTCTTATAGCCCGCCTCTTCAGCTTTTTGATTGGCCCTTGTAAATCTCTTCCCCGCCTACTGTGACGGAACTTCTCCCTTCATTGGCTTGTGGTGCATCAGCGATGTAACCGGCTCAAGGGCACAAAGGGATCACCAAGGAACCAACAAAAATGCTGCACGTCACCCACCGTGGCAGCTTTCATTGAAAAAACAAAGCTGCTGGCTGCATCGATGAAAATGCTACACAAGTGACTATTGTCGACACAAGACCATTATTTGGGTAAGTGTTTGCAATTTTCAATTTTTGTGCGTCAGTCCGTTAGGGTGTTTTTAACATAAACACACGTGTCGACTCAGCCAGTTATATAGTGACTGCATTTGTTTGTGAATGTTAATTATTTTATCTCGAGAGCCGTATTTTCCAGAATTATAGTATTATTAGTTGGTTGTTTCAGCTGTGTTTTGTCACGGCAGTTATTTTGCCATCAGTACACTGCAGCTAAAAGGCACGCGAGAGACAAATGTCTTTCATCATAACTCATGCATATGACACCCCGTTATTTAATAGTTACGTTGTGGAATTGTTAAACGAGCCGGTCAAAGAATGTGTTTTGATGTGTCACGACGAACTACTGTTAATCCACGGCCTAACGTTCGTTGACCGGAATTTATGTGACCCATATTGAGTTCAGCCTTTTGTCACTATGTGAGTGATCTACTGGTGCTCCACTTACAAGCTACAATAGAACATTCTTTTAAAGTGGAGTTAATAATTCGGGTTTAAGAAGCACAGCAGTCGACCCCAAATGTAATGATACATCTGACGCTAACGTAATCCTATCAAGCTAATATTTAGACCACCTTGCACCTTGTATAACGGAACTGCCACAGCAACACTATGCATGTATATGTGTGTGCCTGTATAATATTTATTTGTATAACATTTAATGTTATGTTCTGGTTCTGTAGTTATCATACTTATCTTGTTTGTGACACAATTATTGTTTCTCTGTTGGCATTAGAAAAAGCAAAAAGCTCATGACATGTGAAATGTCAATTGTGGAGTTTCCTTAGAAACCGCTGATGTCTCATCCGTGTCGTGACTTGAAACTGTTATTTGCATCGTTTTACAGCACAGCCCTTGTATGTCACCTTGCCCTGCATTTTTCCTCAGATGGATAGTGGGCCCGCATCCCCTCCTTCGTCCGTGGTGGCCGGCCCCTCCACCCTGTGGCGCCTGGCCGAGAGGCGAGCGCGCAAGGCCGGCTCTGGGAACATCTTCAGCAATGTGAACCTGTGGCAACTCCAGAGACTTTTCAGGGCTGCTGGCGACCAGGATGCAGAACAGAGGGCCCAACTAGTTTGGGCCCACAGGGATGAGACTGAGTTAGCCCAGGCCCTGGTGGGACTTAGGACCCGGAGTCATAGCAGAGTCCTGAGGGCTAGCAGGAGAAACTTAATGGGCACACACTGGTTACGGGCCTTCAATCATCTCAGGTACAATCAGTCTGATACATGGACATAGTAAACCTGTCCAATTCGTATGGGACAGGGACTGAGTAATTGACCCCAAGCCCCTAGAGATGTTTGTCTGTATTAATAATTCAAACTGCAATTATACCACAAACTATACTGCTATACTGGTGGGTGTGTGTGTGTGTGTGTGTGTGTGTGTGTGTGTGTGTGTGTGTGTGTGTGTGTGTGTAAATGCCACTAACAACCCAGACTAAACCCTCCTCGATATACAAGGTGTTATTCACACTAAAATATTTTCATTTCACTTAGGATTGGAGAGGGCTTCCCAAGCAGTCAAGAAAAGGACTCTGGTGAAGAGACAGATCCAGAAGCTGCGCCTCACAGCAGCGAAGGCACACATCAGCACACTACAACTGAGCAAACTACAGGGCCTTCGGTGGTTCTAAATGAGAGCCGAGGCTTCAGAAGGTCAGAGAGACCGCCTCGATCTTTCTCAAGCTCGAGGACAGGTGGAGAGAGCGACCCTGACAGATACCTCCACAGAATACAACACTAATGGCGTGAAGAAGTCAAAGGAGATTTTCCTCCTCAGAATACAACACTAACGGCGTCAAGAAATCAACGAAACTTGGAGCAAGGGCGTGTTTTATTAACCTCTAGGAAGGGCAATGTATTCATTGCGAGGTAGCATGATATCAGCGCGACAGTTTGCCTATGTAGGGATGTTTTGTTTATGATAGTACAGACTTACAAATGACTTAACTGAGCACAATGAAGCAGTTTGCGCAGTGGCATAAGAATGTGTCGTCAAATACTCCTGTTTTACAGTTTTTGTGTTTTATAGTGATGGCTTACAACTCATACAATCTGTTTACTGTAATTATGACTTGACTATTGCTGTATTGATACTCATGGATCTCCATTGCAAATCGAAGACTCTTTGTACAGTACCAGCATATATTACATGTAAGAATGTATTATTGGGATTGAAGGAAAACACTACCAACCTTATAAAAGACTTTTCAATGTCATGTTAAAGCCAATGGTAATAAAGTACTGTAATGTTTGGTCAATAGTTTTGTTTTTTCATTTATTTGTTCAACCAGGCAAAGATGAATTAATTCAAACTGCATGTCGGATATGATCAGGACTCAGAACCTCAACAAAAAAAATCCAGCATTAAACTTTGTGGCAGATTCATGCTCATGTTAAATTAGCTACGTTTATGTTGAAACAGAATTATCTCAAATCAACCACTTATATTGTGTAGTTGTTTCAAACAACAACCTTTATTGTACCACTGCAACCTTATTTTTGCGTATTACATTCACACAGGTCATGTGTCCAGATATGGGAGTAGTGCAAACACTCACTGGTCTGTTCAATTGTATACCTCATGATGCTTGTTCATTTTGTGTTCCTGAGGTTGTACTGCACTGACGTGAACTGGATCACACTGAAAGGTCATCCTAATCAGGGTACTGGTGACATCATCGTATGTAAACACGATGTTGTCCAGTTTTACACCACTGCAAATTACACCCAGAGTAAATAGACCATTAAATTTATAAACCGTCTGACATTTTCAAAAACTATCCATCTGTTGCCGAAATGCGGTCCTCATGAGCCCTCGTGCAGCCTGTTTTCGATGTCTCCTCCTTTCAGCACATGATACAAATGATCAGCTCATCAGCATTCTCTACTTGTAATGCTCATAGAGGCCACTAGATGACGCTACTGTTTTGCATTTTAAATTGCACGCAAAGAGTCAAATGAAGTTCATACTTGTCGTGCACGGACATTTCAATCGGGCATATTTAACTGTAAACGTGTAGACGTTTATTTTTCAGCATATGTTGTTCTCTGCCTGCCCTACCAAGCTGATGAATTTATGGAGATGGATAAATTGCAAAGTTGTGATCTCAGATCACCAGTTTGAATACAATAATGTACGGCGGTGGAGCAACAGGAAATGTTTACAGTTGCATTTGAGAAACTTGGTGGAGGAAGTAAAACAAAAACATTACTAAAGGGAACATATTGCAGAGAACTGACTTTATTTAATTGCTTGTATACTAATACTGTAGTTAGGTCTGGAGTGCCTTCAAGTCAAGTATCAAACTACAGTTTAGTACGTTTTCTCGTGAAGTGCCAGTTTGCTATCTTTCATGTGGGGGTGTTCGCAAACACATTTTTAACATCTTAATCTTTGTTTGAGAGGCCGCACACGTAATGACAAAACGATCATTTCACCAACAATCGGCAAACCTTCCCCCGAAACCCAATCTGGGCGATACTGGGACTAACCTGGTAGCACAGTTTTTCCAGATTTGAAGAAAATAGCGGTCCCTCCATTAAGCAGTTCAATTCTTTCAGTGGCATTGTGTTCAAGAAGCTGGCAGATCTTAAGGCAAAGATTTCATTTTACTTTCAATTTGACAGTGAACTTCAACCGAGTGTTGAAATAAATTGCTTGAAACTACCGGTCTTTGTGAAGAACTGTTCACAATCTGTCAAGCAGCTGCTTGCTGTGACGTTCGTTGCCACCATCTGGCACTTGTAAATAAAAAATCGTTACAACTTCAGATACAAAAAAAACACTGATTGAGCAAAAACTCAAAACTTGAAAGTCGGGTCACTTGGAGGTAGAGTTATACCGCTGCAGAAAGAAGGAAGAGATTAAGCTAGGCTAACTGTTAATTCATCTGTGAACTACATTGTGGATGCAAAATTGTCCTTGTTCGCAAATGACCTGTGACACTATGTGTTGGCCACACATATCAAGATTTGCTATCATAACTATTGAATGGGTGTCACATTTACGATTGTCTGCCTTGATTGCTTTCAAAGTGGCTTGAGGTAATAAAAATAAAATTCCCACCCCACACAACAGGATTAAAACTCAGAATAATCTTTGAGTCAGATTTTTGCTGACTTTGATTGGGAGGGAGGAAAAATTATCCAATCCAACTGGAATATCGTATGAGCACACCACATTTAAGCGAGCCTTTCAGATTTTGATGGTCTAATTATCTTATACTGTCCTCATACAGGCTTGCTCATCCCATGACTTGGCAGCTACCATAATGAACAGTGTGCTCATAGAAACAAATACAATAGATGACGATAGATGGTAGCAGTCACTTGCATTTTGCCACCACAGCCAGAATGTGCCAACATACCAAAAAAACAAAAATCACATTCAGCAACACTCTATTGTTGTTGCTTGTCAGGGGGTGGGTGGGTGCAACACAATTTTGAAAGAAATCTGTTAATGCATCATACAAGGGGTGTCCAAACTCGGTCCCCAAGGGCCGCTGTCCTTTTTTCCATCTCTGCCGGCTGGAACACACCTGATTCCAGGCCCAGAGCTGGACATGGCTGATATATATTGTTTTGACCTTGTGGAGCTCAGTTTATTAGTCCTGCATTTTACGATGAGTCATCAAACTTGGCTGCCGTGTTCTACCAACGCGCAGTAACAAAAAAAACACACACATTTTGCAATTTATCGACACCCACCTGTCTAGTATACGCAACGATGTGGTACCACTGGACTAAATCTCGAGGACACATTGGCCATTGAAGGCCACCTGGAAATGCCTAAATGACTTTAAAATGGCCGCTTCAAATCAAAATGGAAGCAATTGCCTCCCGTGCGTTGGCCTTTCAACAGAATGGCAGATGACAATGCCATGTAGGCTAAACGTAATATAATTCTAATGCTGAATGATATAGCGTTAGCAGTACATTATATCTAGACATGTTAGCTCATATCGTCCCACCATGCTGCATTCAAACCTATACAGGTTTTTCTCTGGTTCTCTCACAAGTAGATAAATGGCAAAATCCGGTACATTTCTATTTGCTCCTATCTTGGAAAAATTTGCAAGTCAAGGCAATCACATCTCAAGGCACCTCTCTATATTATTAAACAGAAAAAAAACCCCAATCACCAGATGTCCTCATCAGTTTTCTTTTGTTCCCAGCAGGTACCGCTTGTATGGGACCCGTGGACATGTGCCGAATACTCGAGCCCAAATCCCGAAAAGCCTGGCCCTTGAGGTAAACCTTTTCAACTTCCCTAATTTTGGATGCAGTCTGTTAGTCAGTCGCACTTGTCCTTGGCTGAATGCTTTAAATATTACGCATGACACTTTGACTAATGATGGCGCCGTAATGAAGCTTCATCTAAATCCGTACCAGACCCGGATCATTCGTCACTGTTAGCGCAATGGAAGAGTGAGAGACACACGTGGAGTGATTCAGTGACTGCAACATGGTGCACGTTAGGAGAAAATAATGAATGTAACTCTGCATAGAGGTAACTAGAAAGTTAAAATGAAAGTGTTTACAGGAGAAGACTCTCCTTCTGAATCTGTTTTGTTCATAGCAAAGAAGTCCTTGTCCTCATTTTCAATCACATATACAGTGTGTGTGTGTGTGTGTGTGTGTGTGTGTGTGTGTGTGTGTGTGTGTGTGTGTGAATGTAACAGGGCCAGTAAAAAACTTACTGTGCTGTATTATAATTACACAAAATCTGTGAAATGATAAATACCTGACGCGTTCTTTTACTATGTCCTCCATTATCGAGGGGTGGAACGAAAATTTTTCTTCAATAATTAATGTGCCACTGCCTTTTAAGTTCAACTCCCGCCTTTGACTCTCCACTTTTTAAACTGTTGATGTCCATGGGGAAGTAAGCATTTTTAGAGCTGGACAAACTTTTTGTTTTCATTTACAAGTTTGAGTATTTTAATACATTATTGTGCCATATACAACCTGATCCCATGGTTTTACTTGACTTGAAGCTATTTTGTGTTTGATCATATCTTTGGGCCCTGACATTGGAAAGTTTCAAAGTTAGTGTGGTACATCCCTTCCTTAAAAATGTGAAACCTCACAGTGTGACTTTCATTCAGCTCCTTTAGTTCTTCTACTTTAAGGTCATTCACAGGTGACTCTAGGCCAGATTGGAATGACAGATGCACAGAAGCCAAGGAAACAGTCAGAGAAATCAAGTCACACCCTTTTATGCAAGTCTCTGTGTGAATGTGTGATTGACAAGGCGAGTCCTATAGAGATTATACGTGACTGAGGATCACAGAGTGCCATGTCCCCGTTGCATTGTAATTAGAGTGCCGAACGGTAATTAGTGAAATGATATACACGGTATTCTTGCTCTGATAATAATCCGACCGATGCAGCGCGCGCACACACACACACACACACACACACGCACACACACAGGGTTTCTATTCATGGAACCACACAACGGCACGGCACATCACTCATTGTTATTCCTTCCTCTGTGTCATTGTGCGCCTTTGTTCTTATTTCCAGCTCAGTTGCTCACTGGTTTCAAAGGTCTCAGACACACACACAAAAAAGAGAAAAAAAAATACACGAGCACGCTTGCCTCTGAGGTGAGCATCAGATTTGAGCTGACGGGAGAGTCCTGCTGAGCTGAGCACCTTCTCTCACTTGCCATTTTAAGGGGCTCACGCAAAAGGACTCTTAAGATGATCCTCTCGAACCCACACACTCTCTTACAGTGGCACCCTCCGTACTTGTAATCACAGTCAAGGTTGTTTGTATCATTTTAATGCGCTTAACTTCTATTATGCTGGAAAAAAAACACAATATTTTGTGTTTTATCTGATTTCTTAGGGGTATTTTTGTTTTTCCTGGTTCAGAACAAACTTAAGACATTGACCTGAGAGGTTCTCCCACATGCTCTTTTACCGTACGTATTTTTCTTTTTAAGGCCAGCGTAATGTTATAAACCAAGTAGATAATAAAACGCGCAATAAATCGAGGAACTTGAACTGTCTACCCATTTGGGTTATTTTTAGATTCTTTATTTCTTCTCACTTCACACATTTGACTAGCCACTAATTGCTAGGCAGAGCTCATCAAACAGGAACTGGAAGTCACAACAGACACTAAACTAATGAGGATTGTTCGATCCAAACGGGAACTGGAAGTCGCAACAGACACTAAACTAACGAGGATTGTTAGATTACAAAACAAGTGGATCGAAAGAAATTCAGTGGCATCACTGCTCTGTGTTATGTGCCAATGACTGGTGACCAGTCCAGGGTCTACCCCGACTCCCCCGTGTCGTTGAATCCAAAAGTGTTAGAAAATGGGTGGTGGATGAAAAGTGTTTTCTGCCCAATCTGGTGGGTCACATCCCCCTCTTGCTGCTAACGTCGTGTTGCCAATGAGAGCTGTCACATAAATAAAACCGGGGCGACTAACTGGCACAGTCGTCCGCGCGCAGAAGGTCAAACTCCTTTCCACATGTGAGACCTTCGCTGTCTGCCTTCACGCTTTGCTGCCTTCGGGCCTGTTCTGGTCTGCGAAGAGACATGTTCGTCCAACTTCACATCGCATCATATTACACTGCTCATGAGGCGTTCAGGTGAGTCGAGGACAAGCGAGGAGAGGAGTTTTACAGTGGACAAGTAGAGAAAGTCACAAAAGATCCTTTGATATTTTATCCTTGATGTGACATTGGTCCCCACACCGTCATGAGCGTCACGGGAGTGTACTTTGGGACAGTCTAAAACGCTGAATGTAAAAAAGCTTAAGAATGAGCAATCGTTTTCAAAATTCACATGCACATCTCTACTCATGCCCACGTCAATCTCTGAAAATCTCAGCACCATATTTGAGATTTTATTGGCAGTAAGCTTATTTCTCACCTGTGTTTACTAAGTAAAAAAAAAAAAATCTTCATTTTACTTAATGATAGCAAACTACGACCAATCATGAACACAATTCATGTGCACATATGTACTTATGACCACATCAATCTAAGAAAATATCAAAACAATACTCAAATATTTTGGATTTAATGGCGTCTAAAGGGAGAGTAATGCTCAATGCTCATAAAATCCAAAATACTGTGGCAGCAGGGGTGTGAATAGCGGGGGGGGGTCACCCACCTCGGGGGGGGGGGGCATCCACATTAACACAAAATGTACTTCGTCCACTCCAGTTTTCAGTGGCTCAAACTAAAAAGACATCATTGAATAAACACATTTGTGTCGTCGGGAATTATTTTAGAGTAGCTATTTGTACAAGTATTAATTTTCCTCGTGTTGTGATGATTTGAATGAGCCTGGGAAAGATCATACTGAGTACCGGCAAAAATAAAACCTCATGAATAATTAATCGGTCCTTGTTAAATATCAGTGGCGACAGCAGCACGGGCAATTTATTGTTTGGATCGAAATGTCAACTCCATCAGTACTCATTTTGTTGTGAACTCCTCACCATAAATATTTAAGTAACTTCACTGCGAGTGACCAGTGCGGCACTGCGGGAAGAATCATTAGGGAAAAAAAAAACAAAAAACAAACTCACCACGAATAAATGTAATATCCCACCGACTCAAACAATTTCACATAATTTATTCAGAGATCTGGTTGCATTTAGAGCGGCTTCATTGTGGCGCATGATAACAGCATGCATCACATAAAGATCAGCAGGCTAAAGTGGGACAAATTCACATTAACATGTTCCCACTGAGTCGGAACTAGAGAGGGAAAGCACATCTTAATAATTCAGTTCAAAACAGACCTCTGAGCTAGTGACACAATATGCAGAGCATAACCTTGAGCTAATGAGCAAATTTGCACGCAAACCCGACCACAATGCAAGACACACACACACACACACACACACACACACACACACACACACACACACACACACACACACACACACACACACACACACACATCTGTGCATGCAGACTATGGGCTCATGGCAGCACGCTATACAGCATATGAGATCAGAAAGAAGTGCAAAAAGTGCAACCATTGATTTGTTCGACCCGATTTTTCAGATAGCATGCGCTCTTATTGCAAAGTCCTTTTTTTTTTTTTTTGGAGCAACATCTGCTGCAATCAAAAAATGTCATCTTACTTGGCAAACCTGTCAGAAAGTGGGATTGCAGATGCCTCCTGGAAATGCTTTATGCATGTCATCCAAAGGTGAAAAATACATTCATCTTGATAAATTAGGCGGCGAGGGACATTTTTCGATGAAAGAAAAGGAAGTCTACATGCAATGTAAAATATGCTACCTTAATTTGTCATCAATCAAAGCTAAAGAAAACTATTTGTGAGTCAATAAACTCATTTTATTTCGGTTCAGACTAGGCAACCATCCACAACATTTGCTCAGATTCTTTTTCTGATTTGAGATTTAAGTCCACTTTCTTGTTCACTTGCAACCCTCATGTTCTTTTCCTCTCACTGATACCCAGCTGTGGCGAAAAAAAAACAACATAAAGCCAAAACACGCTTTCACACATTTGCACACTTTCCACCTTCTGCTGCCCAAACAAACCGACAAGCCTTTAATTATACAACTAATGATGTGAGCGAAGCATTCAGGCGTACGTGTCCACAAAAATGCAAAGGCAGCACTGAAAAGGCTGCAAGGCCATGTAGAGCATTTCCAGCTTACACCTTTGAAGTCGGCCTGTATTTCCAGGGAGGATGTGACAGGGTGCTAAAACGAATGAGATCCTTAATGGAAAAAAAAAAAAAAAAACAACCTTCCCGAAGCCTTCAGCCCCTCCCCCACCACATATGATGTGAGGACACAAAGAACGTCCGCCGCACATCAGCGGGGTAAAAATAAAAGTGAACCTTCGGCGTTAGACATCTCTCGTCCTCATCACTTTGCACACCAAAGTCTTTCTTCAAAGGGGATAATTCGAAGGCTACAAATGCAAATGTGTCTGAACACACTTCCCTGCAGGCATTGTCACTTTAAGAGCCCCAACTTACTTGAGATGCACGGCGGAAGACAAGTGAGCCACAAAATTACGCCGAAACTTTTCACCCTAAGACACTATCCGAGGCAAATTGACCTGTTTTGACAATTTGAAAGTTATAAACAAACATAAAAAATAGCCTAAATTTTCATTCCTTTACCCCAAAATGTGGTCACACTCAGTAAGCTCTACCAAAGTATGAAAGAATTTTTTTAAAAGTCACACTTGTGTGCAGGTGCCACAAGTTTTGTGTGCGCGAATCACATTT